GCATTTTTCAAGGACGCCTGACTAGGAGACAAGATATTCCCCACTGATGCATTATCCAGATTGGCTGGCATTGATTCCCCCATACCTTCGACAAAAACAGAGTGGGGTCCATGGTCTTCTTGAGGCAAGCCATCAAAAATATCATCGTCGTTATCATCATAATCATCGTCACTCTCTTCTAACTCTTCCATATATGCATCGACAAAGTCATGTTCAAAGTCACAGTTGGGTAGTAAGTCCCAAACTACTTGTTTCATCTGAGCACTCAGACTAAATACATTTTCAACCTCGTCTCCAATTTCATCCTGTGGGAGAACTGAATGTGGCGCACTTCGAGAATCTGTTTTTATCATAGCTAAAGCTTTCAAAAGAGACTTTGGCACAGTGTCCATATCACTACATTCAAAAAGATAGTCTGTTAACATCCTCTTAATACCAGCTCTTAGACACCTATGAGACACTTCAGCATCAGGATCCAACAAAAACTTTAACCGTTTGAGCTTCTCAATGTTGCAATTCTTACTAACAAACCATATGGCTTTTACTATTTCATTGTGCAAGGTTTTTATTTGGGGTGAGAAGGGATAAAACTCAATTACGGACGAATTATGACGACCTGGTACTAGTTTGAGTGATAAATCAGCCACTGCCATGGCCTTTGCAAGTGATTCTTGCAATTCATCTCCTTCACCAAGCGATGAAAGCATCTTCTTACTAATTTTTGTAAGAAGATTAATAAGACGATCACGACCCCACCCAGGCTTGCGATATTTTATCTGAGGCAAAAATCGAACTCCTTCAAGTTTTCGACGCATAGCTAAGAGAACTTGGGTGGGCATGTCTCCTAATCCATAAAGTACCTGTGATGCAGCATCATGGAATGATGTCGTACTGGATGTCGAAGTTGCTGAACGTATTCTTCGAAAATTTGTTGTGTCATTGAGAAGTTGAGACAATCGTTTAAAAGTTTCCAATTGATAGCAATCTTGACTTTTCCTTCCTAGAACTTTTGGAATAAATTCTCTGATGACCCTTTTCAGCTTCCATCGAGTTTTTTCCAATTTGACCGAGTCTTCTGAAAGTATTTTAGCAAGACCGTAAAGTCCCCTGGTGCTCAGGTCATCGAGACATGACAAGATGAGTTTTCTAACTTTGCAAGTATCTAATATTTGATCAGCTCGAATACCAAGATGCCTTGTTTCAATATTTAACACTCCAAAAGCTTCTTCAACTCTTGTTTTGACAGTCCCAAAAAAAACCTGAAAAGGAGAGATTCAAAATGACAAAACACAGACGATATGGTTCGCATTTTCAAAAAAATGGATAATTATATAAATCATATTGTAAAGTTGGGACTTAAACCTAGCATAGTAGAGAAGGATCCAAAGTTATTTGAGGAAAAAAAGAGGAAGAATTGTTTACTACTGCATTCAAATTTGTATAAAGTAAAGTAATCAAAGGAAAGAAAAAGGAGAAAATCTAACTTACATCATCTTCTCTCAGCAACGATTCAGGCAAGTTTCTAACAAGAAAGCCACGAATCATTCATTAGAATAAGGAAACCAATGTACTGATTTCATATATGATTAGTCAAATACATCTTCAGTTACCGTTTATTTAAAATGTCTGAATGATCAGAATACTTCGGTCCAGATATAGAAGTAGGAAGCCCCAGCAGCCATCTGCATACATTCAACAGATTCAGTTCTTCCAGAAAATCCTACTTACAAACTCCCTCATGAGTTCACAATGAAATACAAAAATTCTAAAACACCATCTCCAACTATAAATTCAAAAAAGAGAATCAGATATCATTCAAATCCAATCCGTTTGTTAGCCGTTCATCCAAAATCACATGCCATAACCATCGATGATATTTATCAATGCCACACTCTAAACTTATTGAATCCGTTTCCGGCAAATCGGAAACTGCAGCATCAACATCCAAACGACTAAAATAAACAAATGCCGTCCGAGCACTACATTTATATGCAAACGTTCAGCAACTAAACTGAATTCAAACAGAGAAATATGTTGTCAAAATTCTCATATCAATAATTAAAGAACTTCCTTATATATTTTTCTGATTCCTCCACACATCGTAAAAACAGAGCGCAAGCAAACAGAACCGTAAAACGATTACGGAAAAAACACATACCTTCTTTTCGATTTCAAAAGCTCCTCTTGACGACGAAGCTGTGACAAAAGTGCTTGAGAATCCGTCTGATAAAACTCCATGGTGCTTGGCCAATGTTACAGTCCAAAAGGGTTTTATTTACAGAAGAATAGGAAGAAGGTGACGTAATAATCTAGCGAAATTAAAATCCGAAAAGAGAAAAAAAGGAAAGGTCTAAAGTATTTAACTCGGGTTAAGGACCGGTTCGATTTAGAAATTAGAGAACCGAACCCAAAAAAAAGTTCAAGTCTTATTAAAACCGAAGAATTAGTGCTCCTAAATTATCTTATATATATATATATATATATATATATATATATATTTCTAATAAACTACTGTTTATTCGTAATTTTTAGTTTCATTAAACATAAATTTTATATTTATATTTAATATATCAATTATTATTTTTTAAAATTTTTTTATATGTTTAATGTTTTATTAGATATAAAATTTATTTTCATATTTATTCGATAAATTAATTTAATTTTTGTTACTATGTCAAATATTTGTTAAAACAAAAATTTATAATTTGAGAAATTTATTTGATATTTTTTAAAATAGATACAAAATTATATTTATCTAAGAATTAAAGATTACACGATTGTTATTTATGATTTTTCTCAAAAAATATCCATTAAAACTCTTAATTAACTCTTAAATCTAAATTAAACTCTTAACTTTTATAGTTAAATCAATTTACACTTTCTATTAAATTTTTGTTGTAATTAAAGTTTTATAGGTGTATAACACTTTTTTAAATAAAAAAATTAATATTAATTAAAAAAATTGAAAACCAAATAGAGAATAGTAATTTTTCATATTTTCATTTTCTCCTATTGTCTCCACTTAATTAATAATAATAATAATATATTATGGATTTTTTTTTATTAAAAATTATTTAAATTATTTTGAGCCAATTTTAAATAAAAACAAATTGAAAATAGCTATTTAGTATTGACAAAAATGGTATAAACTGCTTCAAAAATGGGTATTATATAAAGAGAATCTTCACCCCTTTCTCCTCATTCACCAAGCTCTTTCCTTTCCTTTTCTTTCCTCCTATAACAGCCCTGATCTTCTCTGCAACTTTATTAATCACTAACGCTATCGCTCATGATTTCTCGACTGTAGGCTATTACCCCGAGCACTTAGCATCCATGGATAAACCCATCGAGCTGTTTGAGTAATGGATGTCGAGGCACAGTAAAACGTATCAGAGCATTGAAGAGAAGCTCCATAGATTTGGGACATTCGTTGACAATTTGAAGCACATTGAAGAGACAAACAAGAAGGGTTCTAGCTATTGGTTGGGGTTGAATGAATTTTGCAGACCTGAGCCGTGAAGAGTACAAGAGTAAATATTTCGGACCGAACGTCGAGTTTCCGAGGAAGAGGTCAACTCATGGGTTTAGTTACAGAGATGTGGAGGACTTGCTCGAGTCGGTTGATTGGAGAAGTAGAGAAGCTGTTACTCCAGTCAAGAACCAAGGCTCCTGTGGTCGCTTTCTTTTCCTATCTATCTCTACCTAGTTATGGTAAGACTTCAAAATTTCCCCACATGATAAAAGTATGATTGGAATGCAGGGAGTTTCGGGGCATTTTCGACCGTAGCAGCAGTGGAGAGTATAAACCAAATTGCTTGGTCGACCATGACCGAAGCTTCAACAATGGATGCTATGGCGGTTAGATGGATTACGCCTTCGAATACATAATGTCTAATTCTGGACTTCGTAAGGGAGGGAGCCTATCCATATCTAATGGAGGAAGAAAGATGTATCAGAGAAGGTAAATACTTAATCTTCTAAACACACATAAATGAAGCTTGCACTCCAAATATTTACTAAAAACAGTGTTACTATAATCCCTAGGAACAATTTGAGGTAGTAACCATTAGCGGTTACGAAGACGTGCCAGCAAACGATGAACAGAGTCTCCTAAAAGTATTGATCGAGTCACCAACCTATCAGCATAGCCATTGAGGCCTCTGGTAGAGATTTCCAATTCTATAAAGAGGTAAGAACGTAAAGCGTCATACTTCCCTTGATAAACCATTCAAAAGGGATGGTTTCACCAAGACCTAACTGTGAAATCATTGGGTTGTCCTTCAACTTCACGGGGAATATTCACTGGTCGTTGTGGAACCGACATGGAGCACGGCGTGACAGCCGGTGGGTATGGTTCATCACAGGGAACAAACTACATTACAGTAAAGAATTCATATGGACCAAACTGGAGAGAATGGTTATATTAGGATGAAGAGAAATAAAGGAAAAGCCGAAGGACTTTGTGGAATCAACCAAATGGCTTCTTATCTAACCAAAGAGAATCAATCCAATGAAGCAAACTTTCTACATAGTTTGGAGATTTCGATCGAAACAGGAATTTCATTGATAAATGAAATCACAACAGGAGAAGAGGAAATGTTGTGGAATCATATTGAATATTTGACAAGACATTCCGTACCTTGCTAAAAAATCGATCCTTGTTTAAGGACCACATATTGTCTAACCAAATCCAATTCTCTCTCAATATGTTCTCAAAAATCCGATTCGTGCGGTTCTTCCCTCAACTAAAGAAGAGATCTTGGCGGAATTGCCACATATGAATTTAAGCACAATTTCGCAAAGAAATAACCCACTTGTTTCTCGAGAAGAGATGGGAAACCCTAAGCCATTATACAAAGAAACAAAAGAAACAAAAAGAAAAACATCAAAAACCCCATCCAACTGGCATATGAATGGCAAGACTAACCGGAGATAGGTTTTACCTAATATATAAAAATATATTCATATGCAGCAGACAAGGGAAATTACTCACTGCAGCATGTCAACAATTTTCCAGGTTTTTTTATATTTATTTGCTAATTTCTAAGATAAAAAAAAAAAAAAATACATCCCTCCCGTCTCCTCATAATTACGGAATGGACTCAAGTTCGTTCATATAAATAAAGCAAGGTATTTTTCAAGCAACAGCGGGGTCTAAATAATCCTACAAGGATCAAATAGTTAATGATATAAAAAAAATGAGGTAAAATATACCCAAGGATGATCAACTAGAAACTTCGTTGTACTTGAAGACGCAATCGTAGAGCCTTCCTCCAAGAAATTGTGCAACCTCCAGATGCTTTACCTGTAAATCCAGAAAAAGCACTGGTAAATGAACAAATCTGTTTACTGCTTAGGCTAATTTTGAGAAAACAACATTCATGATCACAAAAGTGAAATCATTACCATGCCGATCTTTAGCGAATCGCACTTAAATCGAGCATAAAGATTTGTCTCAATTCCACGACCCTGCAAATGTCAAATAAAAAAACAAACATCGGTTCACTCATAGAAATATCTATAACCAGGTAGGGGATGTTCATATAATTAGGACTCTTTTAGAAATGTTTATGCTTTTAATCATTTTAAGATTACTGAAAAGAAAATGATATAAAAATAGAGTGGGATAAATTATACAAAATACTCCTAAAGTTTGGGGTTTATTTCAATTATGCCACTTTGAAGAGTTCCATTTTACCATCTACTCCCAAAGCTCTGAAGTATTTCTAAATAACATCCTCAAATATGATCAAATGAGTTTCAACTGCAACTGAATAAGAACTATACAGAGGAAAACCAAAATTTTCTGCGACAATAATAAGATAACAAGACAATTTTATAATTTAACGCACAATAAATTCACTTCAGATTTAATTTTAGTAGTTTATGATGAACTGATAAGAACTCACCATTCCTTCCAAGATAACTAGATCTGCATCAGTTGACAGGTAGCTAAGCTCCTGGGATACTTGAGTGAGGTCAATGACCTAAAAGGAAACAGAAACATAAATAACTCACCCATAACAAATAGAACAATTTGAAAAACCAATGAATCCACTCAACAAGTTTGAACATAAAAATCTGCATATGTCTTACCGGCAAATCGTTGCCAGAATTGGCAATTAAAAGGTTGGCAGTATTGACGCCCACAAGCTCTCCACGGTCATCCTTCAGCTGATAAGTTGCCAAATGTTAAATTAGAAGTGATAAATAAACTGAATTCATAAATACTAAGAAATATTACTCTCAGCTACCTGCGATAAAATTTCAATTAGCTCATGATAAGTTACATCGTTAATCGAGGGCAAGTCATTGGCCGCCAAGACAACCTGCAGATGAAAAGAAAACAAGTTAAATATACTCAACATGGCAACATAGAAAAAGAGTTAATTACAAAAGCAACCTTTTTTTTCCAGAAAAGTACACAATTGGAATTGAAAAAAGCTTTATGGTATCATTCAAGAAAAAGATATCATAGAAACTTATAAACGTTCCTGTAGACTCAGATATAGAATGATTCATACGTAAGGGATTTATCCTCAGGGGGAGTAAAAGTATAAGTATTAACTGCCAAGTAAACTAAATTGTCAACAAGACTGATTCACAGGTTTGATCACTTGTTTCCGGATGAGAGATTATTCTTCATAGGTAGCATACATTAAGCAATATTCACTAAATAAAAAGATCACATGGTAGAAGAAGAAAGGGCGCCCATAGTTTACAAGTTAAGAAACGATAAAACATGCCAATTTAGGGAAGGTAAGAGTTGGGATTTCTTTTTACAACCTAATCAGTAAAGCTATTTCCGTGCTGAATCTAAAAGTTTTGAGTTTGAATATAATTTTCCTTTGTACAGAGTTCAGACAGCAAATAGATAATCTATAACTCCTTGACATAAGCATCAAATGAATAATTCAACAGAGCAATCGTGCAAGGTACAATTATGAACAACAAAATACAATTTTCTCTTCTTTGTGTGTTACATAACATTTCAATCAATTTCAACTAGCACAAAAACATGTAGTCTAATTTGACAAAAAAGAATTCGATTGTAAATTTTAGAGTTTGCAAATGGAATGATTGTATATTATGCATAAACCACATCTACAGCTAAACCTGAGTTCCGCGCCGGAGTAACTCTCTAGCAAATGGCAAAATGCCCAAAATAATATCTGCACCGGAATTATCAACAAACATTATAACCTGTAATAATGTAAAAAAGTCCTGTTATACATTCGCTTCAACAAATAACCAAGTTATGAGTTATGGTACGTTCAGATATGAACTTCCATGATAAAAAATAGAACACATGCAGAAAATCACATTCAGAACTAACCTTCTTCCATGACTTTTTACTCCATCTGAGTTTGAACGTGTCCAAATCATCAATCACCCAAGGTCGAGGAACAAGATTTTGACAACTCGCTAAGAAAGACATACCATCCCTTGAGAAAACTTCAGCTAGCTTCAAAACATGAATTAATTTCACATCAAACTAACATTCAAAATGACCTCAAGTAATTAGAATCAGTTATATTTATTAGAAAAAAATAAAGATGTGCATGCATCAAGAAACAATATGAATAACACTTCCCAATGGAAGGTTGGCCCACCTGAGCCGAACCAAGATCAAAAATGTTCCCAGCAAATATTCCTTTAACCAGATTCTCCAAGCGCTTATTATCATCTTCAATGGCATCATTCAGGCGAATGACCTCAGCAAATAAGGATATAGCCTTTGCATTCTCTTCATCCTATTAGTTGGGAAGCAAGATACAAATACATCAGAAGTGTGTAATCATAAATGATGTCATATGACTCTTTACTCCCTTTTTTTTCTTTTTCTTTCTTACATCCAAAATCCCCTAGCTATCAACATGTCAGAGAAAATGGTGAATATCACCTAGCTATGTAACATTTAGAAATTAGAAGCTCATGACATCTTCAATATCCCTGATTGCATGACCCCAAGGAGATTTTAAACCAGTGTTTCCAAGGACCTTAACATCTTTATCAAGTCATAGGGTATCCATGCTAGTCTACACTCTAAAGAGAGTAAATTGATTTCTATCAGTTGCAAGAATCATTATTATCCCTCTTTAAGACGTAAAAATTTTCCAATTCCCACCATTTCTAGGTGACAGTTTTGCAATTTTCTTCTTTTTGAAGCAAGAGAAGAAAAATATACTTGCCTTCACTCTCTTGAATATATCTCTGAATCCCAATTCTCTCAGGACTTGCTCCCGAAGTCTACATAGAAGCTACAATTTTTAATTAGTCAGTCCATGAAAACAAAAAGGCGTAAGCCAAGCATGTTCTTATCCTTAATTTAGGAATACTAAAATTGGCTTACAATGCAGTCGGGAGGTCCTCCATGACTTTCAGGATCTTTCTTCATGTCATCAAGTATTTGAGCATACCTTCAACAAATTATACAAAAGCACAAAATGAGACCCATATCATTTGTTTCTAGGATAAGTCCCATAGCTGAAACACCATAGAATTAATGTCTTTAGGTGCAGGAAGGCTAATCTTAAGCTGAAAAACTAATATGATCCAGACGATTAGTTCTTTAAATCAAGAACAATTTCCTAAATAAAGCAGCTATGCTTGCTCTAATTTGTTGATCATGATCCTAACTAGGAAGAAGCAAAGTATTTTTTTTTTGGAAAATGAGACAGAATGAAAAGAAATATATATTTGATGTAACAACATGCAAAGGAAGTTCACCTCTGGGCAAATTTTTCAGCTTTAGTCTCGGCATCTGGGACTGTGGGATCACTCGCCGCCCGTTCTCTAGAAATGTCAAACCAATATCAATATGATTGGGGAAGTACCACCAAAGTCTCAGATAGCCATCAATATTTTTCTAAACTTGACACTTGCAAACACAAAAAAAAAAAAAAAAAAAAAAAAAAAAAAAAAAAAAAAAAAAAAAA